GCACCCCACACAGCCCTCATTCTGGCATGCGGGCGCACACACACGCGCGCGCGCGCACACAGACACACACACACACACACACACACACACCCTCGCGCACACACTCTCTGGCTGTGCTTTTGTGTTTTGTCAGAATTAATGAGAAAAGTTCCCGTGCCCTGCGGGTAATTAGTGTCCTTGGAGTTAAATAAGCTAATGGCGGGCACCTCTGGCCCAAGCAATTATGTTTGTGTATTGAATAATTGATTCAAAGGGGGGAAGGGCCGCTAATCAGATCTGAGCATAATGAATTGATTTAATTAGCAGGGGAATCTGCGGGGCCCTGGGAAAGGCAGGCTTCCCTGGCTGCGGCGAGCGCGGAGAGAGCTCGGGCGCTCGGCGGCGGCTCCGGCTCGGGCCCGGCCGGGGAGCGGAGCTTTGCGCCGCCCGGGAGGATCCGGCCGGGAGGACGCGCCCCCCGCCCCGCCCGCGCCCGCTGTGGCGCCCGCCCTCGCGCGCTCCCTGCCCGCGGGGCTGAGCTCGGGGCGCTCGTCGGTTCTCGGCCGCCGCTGGCGGGGCGCGGAGCCCGCGCAGGGCCGGCAGCAGCGGGGTGCGAGCCGCGTGCGCCTCCGCGCCTTCGGCCGGCGCCGGGCCGGGTGGGCCGGGGACCATGGTGGTGGCGCAGGAGGACGGTAGGTGCCCGCCGCGCGGAGCCCGACTCGGGGACGCGCGGGCGGGGCGCGCAGGGCGGCGGGGGCGGCACGGAGGAGCCCGGGCCCCCCGCTCCCGCCGGCACGACCCCCGCTCCGGCCCCGGCCGCCCCGCGCGCTGGGAGGCGTCCCGGAAGCCCCGCGGCGGGGCGCGCGCGCGCGAGTGTCGGGGCGCCCCGCGCAGCCCCTGGGGCTCGTCCGCGGGATTAGGAAGTCACACCCGCCAGCCCGAGCCCGCCAGCCCCGCGCGTTTCGGCAGGAACTTTCCCGCTGCTCCCGCCGCCGCTCGGGCAGCCGGAGCGCGCGGCCCCCACCCCACCCCAGTCTCCGGGCCTGCCGGGGTGCCCGCACAGCCCCACGCCACCCCAGCTGGAAAACGGCTGCTCCAGGGGGTGCCAGAGAACCCGAGGGGGAGGTTACTGTCCAGTCGGCGTGGTCCCTCGGGTCTGGAACTTCGTGGCTGAGAACGGGGTGACATTGCTTCACCCAGGGCAGGGCTGGGGAGGGCGCTCGCTCTCGCTTCCCGAAATGTAGCCTGAGGGGCGGCGCTGCTCTGGCTTGGCCCCAAATACCAGGTTCAACAAGACTAGATTTACCTAGACACTAAGGAACTTTAGCTCCTGGCTCCTTCAGTGGCAATTTGATATTATTGTGAATTGTATTTATTTTCTTATAGAGGTTACTCCCTCCCCCCCCCCCAGTTGCATAAGTAAACTTGGCTCTCAGAAAATCTGGATTCACCCTTGCATCTAACCTACACCCTCCCCATTTCATCTGTCAATCTCTTTGGAGAACTCACAGCCCTGGCGGTCTGTACCGTGGGCCTTCTCCAAGGGCTAGGGTAGTTTGTTAGTGTTGAGGAGATGAGGCCCCCGGGGCAGAAATTGCAGGGATAGGTGGGGGCAGGACCTGACTGGGAGACTGTTGTTGGTCTGCAGAGAAGGGTCTGGCTGAGCCGCCTCTCTCTGGTCTTACTAGTCCCTTATCCCCAACCCCTGCTGCCTTCCACTTGAGTGATCAACTGTTTCGATTTGTTCCACAACCTTCTCTGGGCTGTTGGGCAGAGGTGGGTTGGCCTTCATCCAGAGCGGGGGAGTGAGATTCGTTTTCTGGGATGCAATTTTGACCTAGGCCTCCAAAATGCCTTACAACTTTGAACTGTTTCCTAGAAGGCCGTCCAAGGCTCTCCAGATACCCAGAGGGGGTTTTCCGACTATGCACTTCTCCATTCTAGCTGGTTACAGATTCCTGTGCATGGGCTGCTGTTGTGTGAGCAGGGGTCAGGACAGGGCATCTGAACTTGGCCAGCAGGCGTTCTGATTGTATTGCAGTCTCTAGGTTTCTCTCTGTCCCAGCCACTGTGGCAGCCATTAGGATGGGGCCTTTATCACTCTGAAAACCTCTCTGAGTGTCATCTGGGAGGCCAGCTAATAACCCTATTTTGGAGACAGCTGCACTGAGCCAGGAGCAGGCCCTTAGGCTGAGCCACATCTAACAGCCTCCAATGAAGAGTTCTGGAATATCTGGCCTACCTGGGCCCTTGAGCACCAAGTCCCATTCCTTATTTACCCCCAATGCAGGAACCCTTTCTCAGGACTTCCCTGCCAGGTACAGTGACAGATAGCTAGGACCTGCCCAAAACTTTGTAAGGCAACCAGTAGCACCCCTTTGTGCTCAACTGTAACCTTAGGGGTACAGTCAACTGGACTCTCTGCTGTCCCCATAGACATTCAAGGCGTTTTGTGAGAGTACACACTGATCACCTGTGGAATGTATTGGGTGCAAACTACCTCCCCCAGCCCCAGGGGATCTGAGAATTCCACTGTGGTGGTATGGGTGTGTCCCTGGACCTGCAGGCAGCTTGGATTGGGGTGAGCATGGGTGCAAGAGTTAACCTGTCTGCCCAGCAATTATCTGAGCTGAGAGCCAGGTTGCTGGATGAGTGAAGCTCAGGTCTGGCTGTCAGTCCATCAGACCCTTTTCTGGCTGGGGGCTCAAGTCACCCAAGTGCTCCAAGCCTTGCTGGGCAGTTCTGTAACCAGAAAGGCCTCTGTGGGGGCTCTTCTTCAGATCAGTGTGGGAGCTCTATGCTCATGTAGGGAGAGCTGCCTGTGGGCACGAAACCCTTGACATGCAGCACCATTCCTCTGCTGACATACCCTCCCAGCTTCTGCAGCCCAGTCATTGCAACCCAGACTACCCCAGGCCCTGGCTGGGGCACAGGGGCCCCCAACTCCCTAGAGGGATGCCAGCTGTGTGGCTAAATGTGTACTTTGGAGGCTGGGCAGGAGCTGGGGTTGGACAGAGTCCCGGGAACAACACAGGGACAACAGAGTGGGAAAGTGACCCCAGTTAGTCGAGTTGTAGTTTGTGAGTCAGAACCAGACCCTGAAAGCCTGAAAGCGGGGAGAAGCAGTCTTCAAGGTAGGCAGTAAAACTGTAGCCCTCACGGAATACGTGCCTCTGGATAGCACAGAGGCATCAGCAAGAAGCTCCCCCTTGTTGGTCTGGCAGGTCCTTTGCTTACTACTGTCTTCCCTTTAGCTCATGTCAGAGTGAGGGCCTGGCACAAACTGTGCTGGTGGCAGCGGCGCCAGAGCCTCCCTCAGACCCTTAGGGTATGGCTCCGGCTGCAGTGGCAGAGGAGAGATCAAGCCTGAAGTCCTGAGGGATGCTGAGTCTGAGCAAAATGATATATTTAACATCAAATATACTCAAGGACTATTAGGATTAAGTATTCAAGATGAAGAGGAAAGGAAACCCTCTGAGCTGTGGATGAGGCATCTCATTAGAAGCAGCCTCTTGTCTATTTTCTCAAAGCCTGACTTCCCTGCCTAGGAGAGAGGAAGATGGGCTGCCGCACCACTCCCCCATCCCACCCCTGCTCATCACACCCTGCATTGGGGCCTCCCAGGGCGTAAATGGGCACAGCCTGGCCTTCAGGTCTTCTTTGTATCCAGTAATCCCCACCACCACCACCATTGTCCTGGGTGCCACAATTTGCAAAGCACGTTCAGTGACATTATTTCATCTGTTCCCCACAGTAACCGTGGAGATATCAGGGCAGGTCTCCCACTCCACAGATCAGGACACTAGGCCCAGAGGGAGAAAGTGACTTTCCAAGATCCATAGTTAGTAACGGGAAGAGGTGGGAAGAATCCCAAATCCTCCAGGGGCTTCAGCTTTCTTCTCCTTGCCTGGGTCTTGTCATCAGAAGCAGCTGACAGGGATGAATCTCCAACATATCTGTCCAGAGCCCTCCTTGGGCTGAAAATATACCATTATGATTTCTACCTCATCGTGGAGCTCTGTGCTGTAAGAGAGAGAGAAAAAAAAAAAAAGAGTTTAAAAGTGGCCTTCCTGGAGTAGGCAGCCCACGCACCAGCCCCAGAGCTCTGGGGAGAAACAGGGTCCAGGAGGAACAGGGTTGTGAACTTGGTCTTTCTTCTTGTTCCCTGAGTTACAAAGCAAAAATCGTTAATTCTACAATAGCAGGAATCATAGTTTTGCTCACTACTCTGTCCTCAGCGCCTTAGAATAGTGCTTAGCAATTAATACATGCTCAATAAGTAGTTGTGGCATGAGCAACACCTTCAAGGCCCTGCTGTGCTTGCTCAGAGAGAAGATGGGACTTGACCCCAACTCTCTAGGGAATCAGGGTGTTCCTAGGGGGCCTCTGGGGAAGGGTGGTGGTATAAGGCCCCCAGTGGGAGTTTGTGCCTAGCACGGGGTTGGCTTTACTAAGTCTGTTTCCCAAATAACCAGAAAGCCTCGGCAGAGCGGGAGTCAGAGAAAGATGGTCCGAGTGGGAAGGTACAGAAATCAGGACTGAGGGCCTGGGGGGAGCAGGAGGTGGTCCCCTGGACAAACAGGAGAACGAGCACCCCGGGTCCTCAGCGGAGCCCAGCGCCCTGCAGGTGGCGCTGCGGAGCCGGGCAGCCGCTCGTCTCCACTCCCCATTAACCCGCGAGGGAGGGGGCCTCGGGAAATGTGTGCATTTATTCAGTAGCAGGAGTGCAAACCTCATACATTGAGGGAGAAAGGCAGCGGGAGACGGCCGCCGAGATTCCCCCATCTCTTTGAATATAATTTTAGATTGAGATTCAGATTAAATCCGAGGGGAAAACACTTTATGAGGCTGAAAGCTGTGTCGTTGCCAGAGCCCGGGTTATGAGCTATCAAATGCAATTACATTAAGACAGATTATACTGGGCAAATTGAGCCATTTAGAAGGTGAGAATCAAAGAAACGGCTCTGATCCTCTCTTCCCCCTTCTCTCTCCCTCCCTCTCTCTCTCTCTCTAAATTGCAGTTCGTAGTTCCTTGCAATTCTGAGGCACAAAAGTAGGTGAGACTGCTTTTGTATCTGCGAAGTGCTTCACTCCTGAATGTAATTCTAGCTGAGTGCAATCTAGGTTAAGAGCCGGACAAGCGGGTAATTAGAGCCCGCTCGCTGCCCGAGGACCGGCCGCCCAGCCGGAGCGCGCCCGGAGTCGGCGCCCTTCACCTGGCCGATCCGAGCTGCGGCTGGACACGGAGCGCCCGAGATGATGGTGCTGGACAAGGAGGACGGTAGGTGGCTGGCTGGGGTCCGGACGCCCTGCACCCCCTGGCTCCCCGCCGCGCGCGCGGGAGTGCTGGTGCGCACAGCCTGGTGCGCACAGCCGGGCCGGGCTGGGGTGCCCCGCGGCTGCAGGGAGAGGGCCGGGTGGGACAGGCGGGGACGCGGGGGTGAGCCCCGGGCTGCGCGCCCCTGGGCCCAGGACGCCGGGGGGAGAGCTGTGCTCTGGCCGTGTGATGCTCTGCGGGGCCGCGTGGAGGCTCCGGCTCCCCTCGGATCGCTCAGTGGCGGTTCGTGCAGAGCGTTTCATCTTTGCGGCTGCTCCTCTCACCGCAGCCATCACCCTCGCGCGGGCCGCGTAACCTGAGAGGCGCTGAGCGCCCAGCAAATCAGTGGCTGCGGGAGAATCGGACTCCAGCGCCTGTGGCGGCCCGCGGGGCGCGCAGCAAGACCGCGCCCAGGTGCCCCACCGGCGTGGGGAAGGCCGGCTCGATCCCTGGGGAGACGCAGCCCATGAGCGTGGCTGGATGAGAGTCACCTCCTTTACTGGCCCACTGTCATGCAGCTTCCTGCACGCAGAGGCAGGAGTTTGGCCCCGAGGAAGAAAGTGGCCACTACCCACTGACAGGCCAGTGGCCGGCTTGCGGGAGCAACCCAGGAGGGGCATGTAGACCTGGCCTGGTCAGTAGCCTCATTATGCTTCAGAGGTCAGAACAGCTGGGCCCATGGGTGCTGGAAGCCACTAGAAGGTGGTGCCACCTACTTCAAAGTCTTGGTGACGGGGACAGCCCTGCAGTAAGTGTCCTGGAATGCTCAGGAGAGGTTGGGGAACCCAACGCAACCTCAGCCTCCAGAGCCAGGAGTGCTCCCCTTCCCTGGCTGTCCTAGACGCTCCTGCCCTGTAGACAAGGGTTGCCTGGTTTGGTGGTGGTATACGGAGAGGTGTTTGTAATTGTTGGCACCCACACTGCTGCCTGCTTTCTGCTGGTTAGGAATCGTAGTCATGGGTTTGCTGAAAATCAGTGGAAATCCTTTTAGAGTGACTGGGGTGGCCTTCCTCTGGCCTTCTGTTAGTGATTCTCCACTGGGCCCGTGCCCTCTGCCCACTGGGTCAGAGGTGGTGTTGACATGGTCACTTGGTAAAAATTCGAAGTTAAAGGACTAGTTCAAGGTGACAGAGGATGTGCTCTGTGCTGCTGCCACATGCTGGTGCCCCTAGCCTCCCTGCCACTGTCTGAGATATCCAGAAGTGGCTGGACATTTAAAGTGTCTGACCAGGGGTGGCATTGGGGGAACCCTTGGGCAGGTAAGTCTGTGAAAGCTATTTCTTGGCCTGTGTTGACAAAGAGAAGAAAGGGGAAACTAAATGCTTTTGGCCAAAATAATCCATTTGCCCGGGTCTGGCTGGGTGACATCAGTCTTCAGTATGTCCTTCCTTCATGAACCCCTCCCCTCTAGCCTGTGCGGGTCATCCGAGAATGGGGCTGATGTGACCGTGTATAAAAATGAAGAGGAGAAGAACTAGTCCATGTGAGCCACACAGAGAGTAAGGAGGCCTTGACCGAGCTCCTTTTGTCACTAACTTCCTATAATCTCAGACCAGTCATGTCCATATCGAGATTCACTTTCCCTCTTGCTCGAATGAAGGGCGTGGGGAAGCCAGGGCACAGGGGACCTCCACGGGGTCTGTGAGTGCTCACACTATGGGAGCAAGCAGAAACCAGGTTGTGTCTTTTGCCAAGGTTATTTGGCGTGCTTGGCTCCCTAGGCCCAAGCCAGGAATCCAGAAGACCAGGACCTAATGCATAGGACGCCTCATGCAGGGAGATTGTTCTGCCACAAGAGACCCCACCACTATCACATGGGGTCTTGGATCTAGCTTCTGCTCAGGTGCCCCAGAATGCTGCCCACTCTGTAAGACTGAAGGTTTTCAGGCGACCTTAGTGGGTGTGACTCTCTACAGTTCTTATTACTGAGTCTTCTGCTTCCAGAAAACAGCACGCCCTGTGTTTCCCCTAGTCTCCAGCAGCCCTGCGGAGAGTGCCTGGTGTCCCTCGGCCCTCTACCCTGCCCAGGGTTAACAACGCAGTGCCCACTACCAGCAACCCTGCCGAGTTTAGGCCCTATGACAGCACAGGGAAGGCAGACAGCTGGAACCTGAGGAGCCATTTGATTCTTGTTCTGCCCAATCTGCTGCTGTCCTCCAAAAGCAACCTCTTTTGCTCATAAATCTACTCTCCACACCCCATTAGAGTCCGGCGTCCACCAAACCAGGAAACCTTGAAGGAGGCACCTATATTTGGGGGAAGGAGAAAGGCCCTGGATCTGCTCACCTGCCCCTCCAAGCCCACTGCCTAATTTTTCCCTAGCTCTCATGCCCTCCCAGCAGGTGGCCATCTGGGCTGGGTGGCAGCATTGGCCCCCAAGAAGTATGTTCTTCAGAGCTGTAGCATTGCACCCTTTGGCTGCAGTGGGGACTCGAGGCTCCTATTAACTACCCCCAATATCTTTTCTCCACCTGACAGCATCTTGTCAGAAGAGGCTGGGCCTCCTCTGGTTGAAGTCGGGTCTGCCAGCTGCCGAGGACCAAAGCTCTTGCTCTGCTGGGCTGCAGGGCTTTCATGTTGCACTTCTGAAAGATAATAAAATATCAATCGCTTTACCGTAGCAACGGGTTTAAGAGACTTTCTGAAGTATTGAATCGTCAGAAAAAAATTTTTTTTTTTTTTTTTTTTGCTTTTAAGCACAGTGCATTATTAATAAAGTAATCCATTAGGTCGAGCAGTGAAGGGCCACCACAGAGAGGAAAGATCTGTTTTGCAAACGGTTAAACTTCGCGTTTTAAGATTAATTGCTTTCATTTGGATGCTTGCTCTTGGCCTAGGCATCTCTACTTTACTGGAACTCAGGGTCCGGGTTTTCTAAATGCCGTCCGGCCTGCCTGTCAGCGAAAGGGAGCCCAGCTCCAACTTTCCCGAAGAAATAGTCTTTCTTCCCCTGGCACCTGTGTTTAGGCTGGCACCAGACTGTGGGCTTGTGGTCCCAGGGGAGCAAAGGGAGTTATTGTCTTAGCCCCAAGAGGCCCTTGAGTAGGGCCAGACGGCGGAGGGGCCAAGTAGCCCCACACGTGGTCAGAACCTTGAGTTGTGGGAAACAAGATGGGAAGATGTGGAAAACACCCCCTTGTGGGTACTGGGGTGTCCCCAGTGCATGATGGAGAAGGGCAGGTCTGGCTGTAAGCTGCCTCTGCACAGCCCCAACAGAAGACCGGGGTACCCACAGGAAGCAGCAGACAGGTTGTGGAACTAAAGGACAGGTATGATTCCTAGAGCATTTTTAGTAAGTAAAAATGCCTGAGGAGAATGGAGCAGGACTGAGAAGGCCCAGACAGTGAGTCTTCAATTGTTAATGACTGCTGTGAGCACGGCCTCTAGAGCTGACTTTGTTGATCTGCGCGGGCAGGCTCTTGGCTCAGCTTGGGGACCGAGGAACCAACCTGAGGTGGCTGCTCAGCCACCAGCAGGACCTCCCGGCCTGTCCCATCATGCTCTGGACCACAAAAGGTCCTGAGGGACTTCTCCCAGAAGAGTGTGACCAGGACCTCCCTGACCCCCTGAGTGGAGGCAGGGAGTGGGCCCTCAAGCCAGAGACCCCAGCCTGTCAGCAGGAAGGCAGATCCTAGCAGCACTGCCACCTTCCAAGAGCTGGTAAAGGCCTTGCAAGGCTGGCAGACAGGAGACCTGGCATTCAATCAGTGCCTAGCAGAGGAGGGTCTTCATTGCGTTCTACCCACTGGGTAGACCCATGCCAGCCTCAGCAGCAACTACTGCTGGGAATGCAACATTACAAATCTTGAGCAGCTCCTGTAGCGACTTCCCCTTCCTTCCCAGACTCCACCAGGCAGAGTCTATAAAGCTGAGTCTCCCCACCCCCTTCTGGAGCCTTGAGTAAAGAAGCAGGTATTTCTCTGTTCCCTGCTCTTCCCTTCATTTGCCCACATGGAGCACTAAGGCGGGGGAGGGTGTGGGGGGACAGGGAAACAACATAAATTGGTCTGTCGTCCGGAATCCATGTCTCGCTAATGTACCCAGATTAACTCAACTGTAAATTGTCTCCTTGGATGGCAGTGTCTTGCTAAAAGTTTCCCATATGATTCATGATTTGGATTGCTTTTAACGGCTATTGGCTAAGCAAGCCGGTGACTGTACAAGGTGATGCAATTGGCATTAGCGAGGGGAGGCACGGGAGCGTGTAATGCAGTCAATACTGCATTAACTACTGATGCCCAATTACAGGGAGTGGGAGAGAGCCTTTCAGGAGCATTAGGACTGGGGGAAGCTGAGATCACTGGCCGCTGCTTGCCTAAAAGCTTCACCCTTTGCTTGCCGGGGCTCAGCGGTGGCGTGGCCACTCACTTGGCCTTTGTGGCCGTGGAAGCTGCCTTTCTCTTTTACCATCTCTCTCTCAACATGCCCCACAAAGATGCTTTTAGCACTTGGAAATACACAGTTTCCTATCCTAGGGCCAGGGTCTCTCTCACCCCTCCCGAGAATTGATTCCCCACCCTAGCCTAGGTCCCAGAGACGGATGGTGTGGTTGTCTCCCCCATTTCCATTGAAGGCACCTCTCAGCAGGCCCCATTTGTGAGCAGGACCGAGAGGATGTCTATTTTGGTCTCTCCCCCTTGGAGCAGATGGGGGAGTGCCAGTGAGCTTTGGCTGCCGACCCTCTGTGGTCATGGGCGAGGGAGACAGAAGGTTTGGTGTCAGCACAGCTGGGCTGCCAGTGCGAGGCTGCTGCACTTGGGAAGTGGCCATGGTTGGACGTACTCAGGGTTCTTTGAGCACAGAGCTGTGGTGGTACAGCTGGACAAGGCTGATGGGGGAGTGACCCACGCCATGTGGGGGACCTCAGTAGATACAGCCCCCTTCAGAGCTAAATCCCACACTGGCAAAGCTGCCCCTATGTACTGGCCCTGTGTTGTTCAGATGCATCTCCAGGGCCTGGGGGA